GAGTATTTCCTTCAGAAAGACCGTTGGTTAGCAAGGTTAGCTAAACTTTTTTGACCCTGCCTCTTAAAAGAATCGGAATCGAGAATCGTTAGGAACCGGAATCGAAACAAGGAATCGGAATCAGAATCGTTCAAATTCAAATGATACCCAACCCTAGTCTTAAGTGTTTTTTATTTCTGAAAAGAATTGTCAAAATGAATTAAGTTTATACCTGAATTGTTTTTCTTGTTTTAGGTATAAGTTAAAAAATACACCGTATAAAAGTGTCATGAAAGCAGTCCAAAACTATAAAAGGCATAATTTACACAATTACAAATCTTTTTTAGAGCGATGCGATTCTGCCATCTAAACTGGTGGTCTCCGAAGAAATTATTCATCTTGTTTATAATGAATTGACTTTCTGGATCGCAACATTAAAAGTCAATGTTTCAAGTTTGGACTTCAGTGAGGGACCAGAATAGCTTTAATGCTTCGGCACTTCACATCTGTATGATAGAATGGAGATATGGCATCTCGTGGAGTGGAAATAAGCCGCTTGGAGTCTAAATGCCTCTCGTTTGTAATGCATCGCTCACCTTGTAGCCAGAAATCTCATGTTATCATCAGAGCAGCGATCTGGAAGGCCGTGAGTGGAGATGAGAGTGAGATTGTTGAATCGAAGATGAGGACTGGTCAAAGGCAAGCAGGAGAGAGAGAGACAAGTGACAATCAAACACCTTTTTATCAACTTTCTGCATTTTGACATTATATAAATGCGTAACACTGACACCAACACATCTTAATTGGATTTCAGGTGTAGAAAACGTGTCTGGCTATATTGTCCTCTTTTGAAGAACAGATCTAGTCCATTTTGGATAATGAGGCTATTTTTGTCCAATTTTTTGGTCTGTCCAGAAATGAATACCACTGAATGAAGAGAGGACAGTGACAACGTCTGAACAAAAGCATGCGGGGTGTGTGAGGTTATTCTGCAAACACTCGACGGACAGATGCTGAAATCCCTTAATTTCCAGCGCAGCGCTGGCCTGCATTAAAGCGCTTTCTTCTCCAACCATCACAGTAAAAGCCTTTCCTTTTGTTTTGTCTATTTTCCCCCTCTTGTTTTGTTTCCTGTGTGTAGAGGTCTCCCCCCGTCACCCTCCTCCCGACCCCTCAGGAGTGTAAAAAGGTCTCTTGTCATGTAAATGACCTGTTTTGTGTGTGCAAGAAAGACATGATCTCTATCGGTGGCGGGAGAGGAAATCAGGCTAGCGTGTGTAGAAAGAGGAGTGTGTGAGGCCTGCGGACCGTCACGATTGATCAGACGGACACACACTCGAACAGAGCTGCTACTGCCATCTTGAGCAGAGGGGTCACTAAACTCCTTCCTGCATGTTTGATTTTTTTTTTTTTTGCACAAATATTCATATGCAAATGTTTCAGAGAAATGGCCACTTTATAACAGCACCTCCAGAGTACAAAATAGAGTTTAAAACTTTTTACATTTTTAACAAAGGCATTTTATTTTCAATTTATTTTATATGGGGTTAAAATAAAATAGTTAATACAATTTGGGACATGCCTAAAAAATAATAAAAGAAATACAATAATTAAGAATAAATTGATTTGTGTTTTATTATTATTAAATTGTTTATTAATATGTGCACTGTAAAACTGTTAAACCACTGTTGGTTTAACTTAAAAAATGAAGTAACCTGTTTGCCTTAATTTTCAGTTCATTGAAATGGAAAAATTGAGTTAATACAATGAAGGAGATTGATTTAATCATCAGACACTCAAAATATTATGTTATCTAAACCACATTAATTATCTAAGTTGATTTGACAAAAGAAAAAATGTTGTGATTACAAATTATGAAAATATTTTGTACAGTGTAAATACACTAAATACATTATGATTTAAGCATTATTAAATTAATGCTTCATTAATGTTTATTGCAATAATAAGACCATGTATTGTAATATGTCTAAATACACTTAATAAAAAAAAAAAAATACAGTACATTGATGCTAAATTAATGCTTATTGATAAAATAATAATAATATTAAATTGTTTAATTAATGTTTATTAATATGTACAATGTGAAACTGTTAAACCACTGTTGGTTTAACTTAAAAAAATGAAGTAACCTGGTTGCCTTAATTTTCAGTTCATTGAAATGGAAATATTGAGTTAATACAATGAAGGAGATTGATTTAATCATCAGAAACTCAAAATATTAGGTTATCTGAACCACATTAATTATCCAAGTTGATTTGACAAAAGAAAAAATGTTGTGATTACAAATCATGAAAATGTTTTTTACAGTGTAAATACACTAAATACATTATGATTTAAGCATTATTAAATGAATGCTTCATTAATGTTTATTGCAACAATAACATTAAAATAAAGTTTAAGACCATGTATTGAAATATGTCTAAATACACTTAATAAAAAATAAAAATACAGTACAATGATGCTAAATTAATGCTTATTTATAAAATAACCGTAATAATGTTAATAATTTAAAATAAAATTGTAAAACATTTATACAAATATATGAATATATCACCAATACAAATAAAATGAAAATAGGGTTGCACATTTAGCCTAAATGATATATTCAGTAGAAGTTAGCTACTTTGAGACCAGATGTAGTTATTGATGAACATAATTTAAAGAAACAATAAGTCTTTTTTTGTTTTGTTTGTTTTTAGCTTGAAACTACCGTTTGTGAAAATTTGTTTTTTATTTAATATTCCTTTCAGGAATAAATAATACAATTATTTGAAGAACAGAATTCGTCCATCTTTTATATTAGAAAAAAAAGAAATCCAGAATGTGTGTCAATATGAAATGTTAATCTCGTGTGTGTGTGTGTGTGTGTTTTCTCTCCACAGGCTGTTCTTGACCACCAGCTCACAGCGTTCTGGCCTTATCAGCAGCTGACAGGCCTCTATTGTGGCCAGTGTCTGACTGCTAAGTTTAGGGGCCAAGCAGGGGCCAAGCATCTTTATCGGTCCTCAATGGTCCCGCGTTTCACCCCATCCTCAGGGGTGATAAAGGACAAGTGAGCGAGCGTGAGGGGGGCCAACGGTTTTGGCTTGACAGATAAGCGCTGTCGGCCATGGCCTCCACATTCTCCATTAGTCAGGCGGCCTCTACAGGGGCTGACCGGCCATAAGTTTAGTGGACACTAACTGCCTCATTAGTCAAGTCATTAGCGACAGCAAACACCAATTGCAGCCTAGAGAACAGTGGCAGGGCTAATTAAAGGGCCAGCGCGTGACCTCCGTACACTGCCAGCTCTAGACAGCTGCGTGCCCGCAGTGCCTGCCAAAGCAGCAGGAGTTAACACACACACACACACAACCGCAGAGCGACCCCTGGTTGCCAGGCAGTTATCAGCTTTCAGGAAACAAGAACAGCCTTAAATCACAGCTTTGTTTGGTCAAGCGCTCTCTCTGCGAGAAGCTGCATCCCTGATATCCTCTCGATAAAATGACATTCTGAACAGTTAAAACGTGTGTGTGTGTCGTGTACGCTAATGTTTTAAAGTTTGGAGGCCAGTACGATTTTTTTCAAAAAGAAATGAATACTTTTATTCTGCAAGGATCCATTAAATTCATCAAAAGTGACATAATGATACAAAATATTTTGTCCATCTTGAGCAGCAAATCATCATATTAGAGTGATTTCTGAAGGATCATGTGACACTGAGGACTGGAGTAATGATGCTGAAAATGCAGTTTTGATCATATATTCACATACATAGAAAACAGTTATTGTTTAATATTACTGTTTTTAATGTATTTGAATCACATAAATGCAGCCTCGGAAAGCAGAAGAGACTTCTTTCAAAAGAACATTTACAAATCTTAACAACCCCAAACTTTTGAATGGTAGTGTTGGCTACATCACATTTTCAAGAAAGACTTATTGGCACATTTGTTTCTAAATGCACTAAAGATGTGGTAATTTACGTTTTTTCTAAAGTGACTTTTAAATAACTGTTCAGATATCTGTTTTTTTTTTTTTTCCAGAAATTTGAGTCAATCTTTCCCGTCTTTCCCCTTGCAACCAACGAATAATTGCTTAAAAATCTTTTAATAAAAATAATCAATATTTCACAGTGTTGTAGTACTCGAGACTCGGACCCGTCTCGGACTCGGTCTCGAGACCATATTTTAATGGTCTTGGTCTTGTCATGGACTCGTGTGCATTTGGACTCGGAATTGACTCGTACTCGAAAAAAATTTTTTTAGGACTCGGACTTATTCCCGAGTCCACTCGAGTTCAATTCAAAATATGTTTCATGATTATTAATGTATGTTAATAAAATATTTCTTTAAATTGATTGACACGCCCAGTGATTGGTGATTTTCTAGTGCACAACTGCGCATGACAAATTGTAATAAAATTACTTTTAACACCACCTACTATGTGGCCTTTTTACCCTAAACTGATCATATTTTTTAGTAAATTATGTACTTAAATTATAAGTAAAAATTACTTAAATTATTAAGTAAATTCAGTAAAATAAAAAAAGGATTTCTCTAAGTAAATAAAAGTAAATTAGGTAATCAACCCTCACTGGTCTCGGTCTCAAAACGGACTCGACCATCTCTGGTCTTGGACTCGACCGTCTCTGGTCTCGGTCTCGACTCGGACTCGAGTGAGGTGGTCTCGACTACAACACTGATATTTCATTTGAAGAATCTATAAAGAGCTGTTTTTCCAATTCAAGGCATTGTCTTTAGAACACAAAGAGATCTCAGTCCAGAGGCAGAATACAGGTATTAATTGGCGTGTGTTATTATATAAAGCTATAAGCTCAGATTTCATGCAATCATTGTTGCGCTCAAATCCCTCAGGGTCACTCTCATGAATTATAACCACACTCGAGACGATGATCCCCCAGGAAAAAAAACCCTGTTTCTTCAAAAATGCTATTTAGGGCTTCTTTACCCGTGTCGACTATTTGATTGAAGTAGCGTTTCAAAAACGGCATGCTTACCTGAATGTCAGTGCTTCAAGAAAAGCTAAACCTGTGTCGGACGCTCCCACGACCACGATTCTGGCATTGACGGTGACCTTCGGCTCCATGGTGAGTTTTCTGTTCGTGTGGTACAGGGCAAAATGAGCCTGTTAGGAGCAAATGAGAAAACAATATCTTTAGTGTCATCTAACCCGTATAAATGCTCACCGGTGGTTAATTGAAATGGGTTTTTCAGTGGCTAATGAGAGTGGGGCGCTCAATAACTAATATATATATATAAAGGGCAATTCAATTTAATTACAGCAAATGGGATGTTAATTAATAATTTAGTAACACTTTACTTAAAGGGGTGTGCATAAGACTAACATGACACCTTCATAATCATGACATGACATATGATATGAATGTTTTATGCATGTTTGTGACAACTGTCATTAAGTGTCATTCGCTCAGTTATGACATTTTTAATGCAAATATGACATTGTTTGAGATGTCTTTGTTATGACATTACTAAGACAACACAACCTGTCATAAACATGACACAGCATAGGTTATGATGTATTGGTTTATGTCAAGGTGTCATAACAAAGGCATCTCAAACAATACCATATTTGCATTCAAAATGTCATTATTGAGCGAATGACACTTAATGACAGTTGTCATAAACATGCATAAACCCTACTTCATATTCAAGACATATGTCATGTCATGATTATGAAGGTGTTTTGTCATGTCATTCTTATGCACACCCCTTCAAGTAAAGTGTTACCAACAATTTTACTCAGCAAGGATGCATTGAATTGATCAAACGTGACAGTAAAGTTTGAAAACATTTCAAATAGATCCTGTTCTTTTGAACTTTCTATTCAGAAAAATGTAGCTATCCCAGTTTCCGGGTTTCAACATAATCAGAAATGTTTCTTGAGCAGCAAAATCATATATTAGAATGATTTCACATTCACGATATTACTGATTTTACATATTTTTAATCACATGAATGCAGCCTTGGTGAGCAGAAGAGACTCAAAATATAATGAAAACTGCACATTTGTTTTCCTAACGCGCATAATGTAGCTAAACAGCGGTTTATCATATTTGTGGTCATTTGAACTACTAGCTCTTTTGCCGAACCCTGGATAATCTCATAAGCCTTTGCTTGTCAATGCAGCGAAATGGTCGTGTGTTGCATTTCAGGTGTATGTTTGTCCTTTAACCAGTGAGTTAACAGCTAACAGCTAATCTTACTAAGCAGCTAACAGTAATTGCGGTTTTCCTAAAAGCACTGCTCATGTCCTACACACAGACTAGTCCATTTGAAAGGTTCTCCCTGCATGACAATAGTTTAATCAGCGCGAGAGTGACAGCATGTTTCACTGAGCACTTATTAAGCTAAAAAGATACCAGCAAACAGGAAAAAGCATTGCATTAGCGAACACTATAACTCGTCTAAAATATTGAAATGCGCCGAGTTCCATTGAAAGAATGGAAACCCGTTCTATAAAAAACCAGTGCGGACCACTTCAATAGGCTCCGCGCCTAATATGAAGCATTGAAATGGTCAATTCTTCCAGGAGATTTACAGAGAGGGACATGTTTGGCCGTCTCTGAATCAATTGAAAGCGAACAGCTGCCGGGTTCTCCAAATCATTCTCTCTACTTCTCTAATTGGCCCTTGAGCATGAATAATTCCAGGGATTTGTTCTGTGGTACACCTTATCTGATTTAACATGAAAGAATAGAGACGCACGCGGTGGACTCTGGGAAGGGAGAGGCCCAAATTGTCATTGTAATTTAAGGAAACGTAGCTGATTACACGGCCATCAATGATTGGCTCTTTAAAGTCATTCATTAATTGCTGTAATCAATGGCAGGGACTCAAGGAGGTTGGACATGTTGGGCCACTCGAAGACAGAAATCAGAGAACGCGCAACATGAATCACGTGCACGAAAATCACACAGACGTCATTTTTTGGTGCATGCCCTCTGAGAAGTTTTGAATGTCATAAAAAATGTTATTATATATTTTTTTCTTATTGTCTTGATCGCATCAGTTACAAATCTCCCGTTCCAGCACATCCCGTGGAGGCCGTAAACAACATGAAAGCATGGATTGGCGGTTCTGTAATGGGTATTTCTGGGGCCCACAGTATCAATTGAGCATTGTTTAAACACCACAGACTATTGTTACTGACCATGTCCATCCTTTATGACCACAGCAGACCATCTACTGATGAGATTTGCAACTTATATGGATCAAAATCTCTGATGAATGTTTCCAGCACCTTGTTGAATCAATGACATGAAGAATTAAGCCAGTTCTGAAGGCAAAAGTGGGTCCAACCGGATACTAGCCAGGTGTACCTAATAAAGTGGCTGCAGGTGAGTGTGTATTTACTGTATATATACCGTACTCTACCTTTAAACATTTGGAGTTGTTCAGATTTTGTAATGTTTTAACCCAAATTTGGGTAAAATATGGACAAACCCAAATGTTGGGTTAAAAACTTAATTTCAAATTTTAACCCAACTTCAACTTTCACTTTCAAATGTAAATTTTTTAATTGCAGTTTTAACCCAACATTTGGGTTTGTCCATATTTGACCCAAATTTGGGTTGAAACAATCCAGCATTTTTTAGAATGCATGCATATGATCAAAAAATACAGATAAACAGTTTTATTGTCAATATTATTACAATTTAAAAGAACTGTTTCCTGTGTAACTCTATCTGCAGTGTAATTTATTCCTGTGATCAAAGCTGAATTACTCCAGTCTTCAGTGTCACATGATCTTTCCGAAATCATTCTATGCTGTTTGATTTTTCTTTTTCTTTTTTTGTGGAAATGTGATTCATTTACTTTCAGAATTCTTTTGAACAGAAAGTTCAGAAAAGAACGACATTTATTTGAAATCTTTGGTTATAATGTTAAAATCTTTACTGTCACTTTCGATTAATTAAATGTATTCTTGTTGAATTAAAGTATTAATTTATTTTTTTAAAAGCTCTCACTAACCTAAACTTTTGAATACATATGAAGAGTTCAGATGCAAAAGCCTCTAAATGCCATTTAAAATTTTCTTCTTTAATGATGATTTTTTATCAAACTTGTATATTTAAGTTCAGTAATTTCACTTAAATAACAATTAATAGGTAATTATCTTTGTCATTTAAGTGAAATCACTGAACTTAAATATACAAGCTTAATAAAAATGATCATTCTAGAAGAAAATTTCAAATGGCACTTAGAGGCTTTTGCATCTGAACTCTTCATATATTGATTTTGCTATCTATTTTTGGTCTTTTCTTTTTTTATAATTAAACATTTGAAAATCACCCACTGATATCAAAACACTGAGCATTCAAAATTGAAATGATGATATTTGATGATTCATCATATTTAAGTAAACTATGATGTCATTGTAATAGTTTACATACTGAATTGTGACCCTCATCTTTAACCCATATAGGCCTACATCTGCTGTAAAGATGGCAAAGAAGACGTGTGGAAATCAATGGCAGACTGTGAAAGTGTTTGAAAACGGTTCGTATTTTTGCGATTCTGTTCATTTCTTACAAAACTACAAAAATGTTCTTAGATGGTGTTCATCTGCTCCTGATAATGACAGGATGTCAAACAGGAGCTGACCCTGTCCTCTCTGCACAGGTAAAGCCAGCACAGGTGTGTCCGTATCAAACACTGTTGGACATGCAGGACTTCTATACAGACACAATGCCCTTCGTAACACAACACTCTATTGACGAAGACCGAACAGGTGCTTTAACTCTGATTAATTCATCTGAACCAGACGGAGGATTAACGCAGTCATTGCGCTCTTATCTGCAGGGCTGCCTGGACACCGGCGTTGCTGCGCTACCAAATGGAGCTTTCTAAAGTGGACTGAAGGGTGACAGCTTGTGTTTCTTGCTAATGCACTACACACACACACACACACACAACTGCATATGACACAGCAGCTCAATTCCAAAATCTTGTTGTCTACTCCCTTTTGCTTCAGAATCCAGACTTTGCATTGGCCTTGAGGTGGTGATTGAATTGTTTGTAAAGCAAAAGTACACAAAAATAAGCTAAATCATTGTCGTTTTTGAAAGAAGTCTCTTGCTCAATAAGGCTCAAAAATACAATCAAACAGTAATAACAATTTAAAATAACTGTTTGAATATATTTTAAACTATAATTTATACATGGCAAAGCTGAACTATTTTTTAATCATAGATAGCTTTTATAATAAACATTTCGTTAATGTCGTCTACCATCTTGGATTGACTTCATCGCAGTGCATGCTGCGATTGGCTTTGTGAAGAACGAATAAGATGCGACTTTAGCATTTGACTGACTTTTGTTCAGTTAATAATTGTCGTGTGACCTCTCGATAAGTAATAAGTGGGTCGTTCCTCTTTTACCTGTGAAAGCTGTCCCCTCCCTCCATCAGAGAAGCCTATCTCATGCAGTATGTGTGATCTGGGTCAGCAGAGAAAAAGTCTTTCTCCTTGTGTTACATATAAAGACAATGCATGGAACGCAGTTCGCCCTGTGATTTGAGTGCTGTCAGATGAAAAGCGATCCATAAATAAGTTCCTATGAATCCTTAAAATGGTGTCTACTTGGGGTTTGTAACCCACCAACAAGCTTTTTTAGACTTGTTTGTGTTTCGCCAGTGGGATAGACAGCACCTCACATGCTCTATTCAGGTGTTTTATTGAAGAAAACGATGAAATAATGTGGGCCGAGTGTGCTTTTATAACACCTCATTATTAATTTAGGTTATTTAGATTTTATTGATGAAGAAACATTGTGTGAAGTGAAATCCCCCCTCTGGCTATAGTGTGTGTGGAATCTCACTCAGGAGTACACACACACTCACACACTCACAGCAGATGTTGGTTGTTCTGATAATGGCTGGATAAGAACGCCGCTGCTTTACCTGTTAGAAACCAGCGTAAACATTCACCGCCATCTGCCACCATTCATCCATCTGTTTCTTTACAACTAGATGTTCAATAACCTCAGGCAACAACGGCCCTGTGGTCTGCTTCACATGCGGCTAACGATTCTGATACACAAAACGGATAATGAGTGGAATAATGCAGACGGCTATAACGTTAATTATTAATAAACGGACGTGTGAGAAACAAAGATGTCATGCTGTCCCTTGACAGTTTAGGGAAGGAGAGTTAAAGGTGTGTCAAATTACAAGTGTGATCATGACACATTCATTTACTGCACAGCACCCTCTTGTGGCAAATCAATGTGCATTGTTATTATTATTTGAAATATTGAGGGTGAGTGATTTAAGCCCCTAGTAGTACAGTTCAGCATGTGACTAGTCCAGAACTGGGGGCAGTTGCATAAAGACTGTATCTTAAAGAGGGCATATTATGCTTTTTTCCCTGTCTATCTTGATGTTTGACAATGAAAAATATTCCACTTTTGATTTTAGTCCCTCCAGCGGGAGTTATTCTCTATTGCACTCTATAGTCACTGTTTCTGAAATCCCTGAAACGCCTCCATTGTAGTCTTCAGCTTTTTCCCGGGAATGAACACGTCATAATGTTCCTCATTTAAATATGCAGAATAAAGGGGCGGGGCCTGGTTGAGTTTGTCCTTAGGCTGCATTTACACTGCAGGTCTTGATGCCCAAATCCGATTTTCTGACTATATCCGATTTTTTTGACGACCTGCTTACATCATCTTTTAAAAGTGACCCATTTCCGATTTTTGCATTCACACTATACACTGCTGAAACTACCAAATGCAGACGTTCTAATGGTTCTGATCCGGGAAATGAAACAAAACAGCACGAAATTCAATGGATGCCGATGCCTGAATAAAATTATCCAGTGTTTTCTTTCCACAATATTTCAATAAGTCATCAAAACATTGGTCTCGTACGGCGGAGAAAAAAAGAGGAGAGGCCCTGGCCATGAGCACTTAAAACGATGCCTCATATCTCGTGAAATGTCTTCAAAAACAGATTTATTTCTGCATTTTTGCCTGCACTCTTCACCCCAAACACTCAAAAGACATGAAACCTCCGCATTGCTCCACTGTGTGTATCCTTTCTTCCATCCCGCGCAGTTTTTAATGACGCACGACTCGCATTTACTGGGGAATATCCGATTTGTCTGCTTACATGGCACACGCAAATGCACGTATCTGATTCATATCCGATTTATTACCACATATGAATGAGGCCTGAATCCGATCTGAGAAAATCAGAATCCATGCGTTTTTTTCCTGCTTACATGTTCACCGGTCATATCCGATCTGTGCCACATGAGAGGAAAAAATCGGATTTGGGTCACTTGAGCCATGCAGTGTAAACGAGGCCTTAGTGTATTGAAACTCATGGTTATAGTGAGGGGCAGGACATTACCAAATGACCAATCACAACACACTGGTCCAACCGACCAATCAGAGTACAGTATGCTTTTCAGAAGGAGGGGCTTCATAGAGACAGAAACCAAAAAGAGCGTTACTGACAGCCTGAGAAGTGAGGAGCTGCAACAATGGAGAATATGGGACAAATAATGTGTTTTTTGAACATTCAAGCATGAAAACCTAGTAGACCCCCAAAAACAAAATCAAGACTTTGTTAAGGGGCTTAATAGGACCTTTTTAAGAACTAGTCTGACCAGTCAAACTTACTTTTGACCAGTCAGTCTTACTTTTCGGATGCAAATTATTATTATGTTTTATGTAACTGACTTAAAAAAGTTATGACCAAGAATTTGATGACTACCATGTCTATTAAATCTGCCACTGTTTGTGCTACATACTGTATATAGATACAAATACTACAGCCAACCATTATGGTGGTGAGTTGCATCATGGAATAGTTTGAACTAGATGCTACCCTTGTTTATATTGTTTGAGTATTTAATTGTCAAATTGCTTTATGCACAATTATGTTCATATTTCCGGAATCTGGTTTGGGTCTGACCTGTTGTTTGGTGATCTGCTGGGACGGCGCGTTGATACCCAGCTCTTCCAGCGGATAGATTATCTGTCGTCTCGGGCTCACCGGCACCATGTAATTCAGCACTGTTGTCAGAGAGTGATGACTGACATTCTGAGTGCAAAGAAGGACAAATTAAGAAATGTTTATGAGCAGATAACGTGGTATGAAAAGGTTGCTGGTTTAAACTCTGAGTCAAAAATAAAGACTTTTGATTCCAAACTTCTGAAACTCTAGACTAGAGCAAGGGTCCCAAGCCTTTTATTTGTCAGACGAACCCCTTAGACATGAAATATTTACTTGAAGTTCACCCTGGGATTTTGAGTTATTTTTTGAGTTATTATTTTAGTAATATAATAAGTGTTGTGGTTCTCTGATTTTGGTTAGTGGACAGATAAAATATTTAAGCTTTTTTCAAGTGTTTTATTTTATTTTATTTTAAAATAATAAGGTTTATTATTATTATTAGACATAAATGTATTATTGTTGCAAATTACAATGATAATAATTATAAAAACAATTTTTTATGACACTACAAGTTACAACATTGATATACTATAACGTTCAAACCCTCAAGCTTTTATTTTGGCCGTAATACTGGTGATGCTGGAAATTATTAATAATGGAAATATATAAATATAATGGAAATTATATTATTATATAAGTCAAATTTTATATACAATTTTCACGCAAACTCCCATTTGGGAAACTTCTGCTCCAGAGGACACGCATGTGAGATTACTGTTGATTACTGTTTTTTTTTTTTTTTTACAGGAGAGAAATCTTCTGCCCACCTTATAGCTGTAATGGGGTGGATGGAGGAGGTAATAGAGGCATGACTTGTGTGCCAAGCGCAGCACCTCCTTGAAGATATATTTAGCGTGATGCTGGAAAACAAGGTTGAGGAGAAAGTGACACAGTCGACCGTGTTCCTCTCGCTGCTGATGGCTGAAGTACACGAACCTCTCGACGTCAAAGTTGGCTCGGATGAACTCAATGTCCTGGGAGAACGAAACGGTTGATGGTAAGAAACAGAAAACACCATGACACACGTCATTAAATATTTACCTCTTCATCTCTGATGATTATCAGACCAATAACTCGCCCCTCGACCTGCGCCACAAATGCCTGGAGGGCACTTCCACCCTGAGAATGAGAAGCAATGCTCAGACATCACAAACACAGCTCTGTCGACGGACTGAGGCAGTCTAGCGTGGGGTTGGGGGGCAGACCTGGTCTTTTCGGGCCTGCAGGAACAGATCCAGATCTTCACTGATGGACTCCCGCTGGCTGAGACTCTCAGTCAAACTCTGGATTGCTGGGATATCTGATGACACTGCCACACGCACCTCCAACGTCCTGACGGGCAGAAACATATTAGTCTGACACATGAATCCAAACTGTGAGTATTTTGTAAAATGCTTATTTTAGTAGCAATTTACAATAAGGTTACATTTACATTCACTAACAGAGAAAAAGACTTCTAAAGCATTCATTCATCTTACAGTACGTTAATTTTAACATTTACTAATACATTAATAATGATAACTAACATTAATAACTAACATAAATAATTAACTAACATTAAAAGATTAATAAAGTTAATATATATATATGTAGACATATGTACATTGGTCATTAACAAATGGGATCTTATTGTAAAGTCATACCTTATTTTAGCATTATTTCTTTAAAATGAATGATTAATTTCTTAATGAATGTAGAAATGTTGCCACATGATTAAAAAAACGCACAGAATAATTGATTTATCTTCAGTAGATGATCTTTTGAATCTTTTGAAGGCCACTGTATTGTTCTTTTAGTACATTATGGTTCATCTCCAAGAAAAGGAACAATGGATGCTTCCTTTCGAGATTGATTTAGAGGATTGAGCGTGTGTGTACCTGAGCAGAGCCCACCAGTGACACAGGTAGAGTTCATGCGGGAAGATGCTGGCGTCACGAGGGGCGACTCTGGAGAAGGACTGCAGCAGTGGGAAATCTGGAGTCAGTTTAGGCACTGAGATCACACAGAAGTCCCGATCCTGTGGAGCACATGATCACCATTACAATTCATATCATGTTTATTAGATGTATTATGTTACACGTCAGATGTAAAAAATGTCAAACGCACACATGGACACCTGGTTTTGTAGAAATGCAACTGGGTTTGTTCACTACCGTTCCAAAGTTTGTTCACTTTTTAATGTTTTTGAAAGAAGTCTATTCTGCTCACCATAAGACTGCATCAAAAATACAGTAAAAACAGTAATATTGTGCAATCTTATTACAATTTAAAAGAACTGTTTTCTATTATAATATATGTTAAAATGTAATTTATTCATTACTACAGTCTTCACTGACACATGATCCTCCAGAAATCATTATAATATGCTGATTTATAATAGCATATCTTATTATTATCAATGTTGAAAACAATTTTTAGTACGTATTTTTGTGGAAACACAATTTTTTCAACATTCATTCAGAAATTTATTTTGAAATAGAAGCATTTTGTAACTTTATAAATGTCACTTTTGTCCAATATAATATTTCTTGCAAAAAAAAACTCTTATTAATATCGTGCTGTCTTAAACCGGTATGGCTTTTATCTTTCACAGTACTCAAAAGGATATATTTGAAAGAATGTTACTCTGCTGTTTTCCAGATATGACAAAAACTTAATATTCATAATAATCCATCCATCATAATAAACTACCTTTGGTACTTTTTGTCGTGAAAAAAAAAAAAAAAGTCATAGAGCAGCTGGAGAAACATAAGGGGGAGTAAATGATGCCAATTTTAATTTTTGGGTGAATTAATACTTGGGTGATTCCTTTAATAAGCTGATTTATGTACTTACCGGAAAAAGTTTAAACAGGTACGGCAAGAAATCGGCTGATCTTTGAGGAAAGAAGACGACAACAGAAATGATCATTTATGAGCATCGTCTGTCCTGTAGGCTGCCATGTTGGGCACTAGAAAGCGAGTGTGGCCTAGTTGGTCCCGCTGTCACTTTAAGCATTCTACTCATTAATTACATGTTCATGCTCTGTGGGTGGGGCAGGCCTCCATATTCCATAACAGCTGGCCAATAAGGTGGCACACAGACCAACTCAGCAGGAGCCAAATAACACTCAGACTGATTTTTACAACAGCTCTTCACTGAAAGCCACTGGAGCTCGGCCAGACAGTTTTCATTTAACCAGAGTTTTGATAGCTTACATACTTTAGATAAGAGGAGCTCTATTTTTTTATAGCTTTTCCCCATTAAAGTCATGGTTTCTTGCACCAAAAGCAGTCAAAATAGAGTTTTTCATGAAACCTTCACCCCCTCTATGACATCTTGAATTAAAATGGCTGTTCTGGTTGTTGCTAGAATGTTCTAGCAGGCTTTACAATGTTTGAATACATTGTAAATCTAAAAGATTGTTAGAGTAGTTTTTTACAAGAAAATACCATTTAAGCCATTTAAGCCACTTTGCCATTTCCTTGTCATTATTTGTGGACTTTACTAGCATTTCTGTACTAGTCTAAGACGTCCTTACCTCATTTCAAACTTCTTTTCCATGGCGAAGAGCTGGATGCAGAATGCATTAGGAGGCCCGTCTGGATTCAAGTCCACTGTGTCTTTGATGCTTGACTCAACATACTCTAGCTAGTTGGAAAAATCAATAGAGAAACAAAAATAGGCATTTTACACGAGATACTTGACATGAACCACATTTGGACAGGTTCCTAAATATAGTAACCGTTATTAAAATGCAAAAGAAGTGGGAAATGTCTCAAAGATGATGTTTAGCTCTGACCTGAGATATGCCGGTAGGCTCGTCCTCTTTTTCTGCCGTCAGTTCACCCTTGAATTTCATTTGGATTAGTAAAGGAGCTGGAAATCCTACATAAATGATCCCTAGTGAGCACCATTAAAGGGATAGTTCACTTTGAAATGAATTTATGGTATGCGTTAGCTTACCTCAAGTGCATCCAAGATGTAGGTGTCTTTGTTTCCACAGTAGTTTCAATTTTGATATTTGACTGATTTAATGATTTACTGACTCGTAAATGTAAGTACACATTGATGGACGTCCAAGTGATCTGAAGGCACGGGCGCTTTGTGGCTGTGGTTACAAGAGGTAAGAACGATATAAATACTGTTCCTTTTCTCACACAAACTGCTCGTTTCGTGTCTTAGGCCATCAATGTGTACTTACATTTACGAGTCATTAAATCATGTTTAATTTGGACTTCTCTGTGCATGCTCTTTGAGGTGGTGACCATAGACCTCCATTATATGACTGACAGACAAGAACGGTTTGACTTGTTTGACTGCGGAAACAAAGACAACTACATCTTGGATGCCCTTGAGGTAAGCTAAAACATCCCAAAAATTAATTTCAAAGTGAACTATCTCTTTAAACAGGCTGAATGTGTCTTTTGAAACTCACTTGCACAGGTTCTTTGGCTTCAGAAGATTCCTGGGCATCAGTGACATGGTTTTCCTCCTCCTGAGTGTGCGATTCTTCTGGTGGTTCCTCTTGATGTGCTGGATTTGTCTTTCTCAGTCCTTCAAATGCTCCAAGCTCATAGCACTGATTGAGAAGCTTCAAATCCATTTGACCACTCACAGCGACAAAGCCTACGACAGCTCCTTCACTCTGTGTAAGAACACACACACACAAACGGCTTAATTTTTGCATTACAGTAAAAATGACAGTTTTTTAAACATATGCTAATCATTATTTGGGGTAAAATAATGATACTCTAAAAAATGCTGGGTTGTTTTAACCCAATTTTGGGTAAAATATGGACAAACCCAGCCACTGGGTTAAAAATGTAATTTAAAAATGTAACCCAATGGCTGGGTTTGTCCATATTTTACCCACAATTGGGTTAAAACAACCCAGCATTTTTTAGAGTGTAAATAGGCTTATTTTTCTTAAAGAAACATATAATTCCTTTCTATTTATTTTTCATTTTTAGGGTGAAATATGACTTGGACATGCGCTCCAGACAGATTTCATGAAATTCGCCCATATATAATTTAAAACTCTCATAAAAGACCTAGAAAAACAACACCTCTGTAATAATTTATGAATTTTCTATGGAAAAAAAAATGTTTTTTTGTAATCCTCCTGGGCAATGTAGTACAGTTGTCCTGCTGAATAGATGGGACATTCAGACAAAAGGAAAAACCGCTACAGATGTCTGGACACAATATGTTCAGTGTGAGTATGTCTTGGCAGGGCATGAGCTCTCATCTGCCATATGTCGCATGAACACATGTCAGCATGCGCCGCAGGGGAGAGAGTGGGGCGATCTGTCGTCCTGTCATTCCTGAGAAAACACCAACTAACACAATTTCTGCCCCACTTTTTTTTTAATAGATAGAATCAAGAGGCATACAAAATTCTCTAGTTGCTCTCCAAGAGAAAAACCTAATAATAAGTATGAAATGCTTTCATATGTGCACATAGGAAACCAGATGATCTGAGCTTTATTATCCACATTGTTTAGCTGTAAAGATGCTATATGCTCCCAATTTTAAAAAAAAAACAAAAATAACAACAACAACCGTGACTAACTTCACAGACGACTGTATGGTTCTCCTCATCTTGAGCCTCGATGAGCTCAGACAGGAAGTACGGCCCGTGGGACTCCACCAGTGGCGTGATCTGCTCCGCAAATATGTGCATGATGTCATCGAGATCCTCAACTCTGGGGAATTTGAAGTTATTGCATCGGGAATTAAATTCATCGCTGTGCTGCAAATGTCCTGTATAAACTCTATTTAGATAGAAACTGTGTGCAGCAGGACAAAAACAGTCTAGACGTGGATTATGATCGGCTTTACACTAGATACAAATGTCTGAGTGAATTTTACAGAAACGTGTCGTATTTCACACCAAATACAAGTGAAGAAAAATAGAGAGATTATATTTTGCACAGATAAAATGAATATTTTAGGACCATCACGATTTCTTTCAATTGTGACATCATTTTTTACGTCAATTAAGCACATTTCCCCTGTTATTGTACAGTTTATGGATGTTTTACTTTGTAGTTCTTTGTTATTTTCATTGCTCTTATTGAGGATTCTCATTAGTTTTGCATTAATATATTGAACTATTGAAATATTTGTCACAAATAGAGAAAACATTAATGATTTAAAATTTAAATCAGCATAACAGTACCATGATATTAAAATGCTTTACAATTAAAAAAGACTACATATATATATATATATATATATATATATATATATATTTATATATATATATTTAAATATAAACTGTAACTCAATATTTTAACATTTATTATATTAATTAAAAATCAAATAAAATATATAGATAAAGTGATATATATATATATATATATATATATTGTATAATATAAGTAAGCCACTGGGTCATGTATATAAGTGAAATATGACCCAGCCATGTTCTTCTCCATTTCCATGAGTGTGTGAGAAGTGTTTGTAAACCTGGCTCTGCGGATGTGAAGTCGAGGGCAGTGACTGTGTCGATGACAGACGTAGGCCGAATACTGAACTTCCTCCTTAACAGGAGTCAGGGGTTCAAAGATCTTCTCCAGTGCTGCCTCTGTTATAAAAAGCATGACCGAAAACATGCCTTAACATGTTGAACAATGTCACTGTCAATGCCAGCATACAAAACATATCCAAAGTGATATGAATTCTTACCAAGTGAGCCTCTGTAGGGAGTCAGAAGGCAGATGTGTTCCAGCTCCACAATGGCATTGAAAACTGTTCTGGAAGTTGATCATGAAATTTAATATAACATGATTGAGTGGATACAGGAAGGCATTGCTATACAGTCAATACAATTTGTGCTGCCTAAGCTCATATTCACTCTAACTGAATAACAATAGACAAATCTGTCTCGTTTTATTAAGTTAAATATAAACCAGTGAGCAGACTGTGTGTATTCATGTCACTGTAATTCTTATAGGTGAACTTCACAATGCCTGTTCACTCAAAGGAGTTTGCTTTTACCTCACTATCTCTTTAGCGCCCCCTATGGAGAAACCAGGCTGAGCCACAAAAAGACGCAGGAAAAGAGTGTTCATGGGCTGGAAAAAAGAGAAACAACACCATCAGGTGGGCGTTCAAAAAATATATTATAAATATGAATGGACACCTTGGCATATTTGCTTTGCTTACAGTGAATTTCTGGCCATCTACGTGATTCTGAAGTAAATTCTCCCAGCATGCTTGATCCACCAGCTCTTCAATGGGGTGATCTGAGAAAGATGCATGGGCGAGCACTTCACTCTTACTGGTGCTCAGGGTCACAGCTAAATTTGCTTTCTCACTGCAATGAGAAATTAAAACAAAAAGAGTTTAATTTTGATTTTTTTAATTTATTTTTTTACTTTTAACAAACTAATTTTAACTGACTGACTCTTAACACTTACAGAAGATGGATGACATTGAGTCTCCCAAACACAGCAACAGCTGCAGGCCTGATCAGACGATCTATCTCTTCAGCATCCGACCATTCTGTCCTCCTCACAGTCACACTTTCAGCTTTACCAGTGGATGAAGTGATGGTGCTCATTTTAAATCTAATACAATAAACAAATGTGATTACATATAGACACAAACTATGTTGTAGCTTTAAAATTTATTTTATTGTATGTCTACGCGACCAGTCAAACGTTTAGACACACTAAATTGGATCATTACGTATGTTTAGTTTGAGATTCGTCACTCGTACACAATAAATAAGAAAAACAATGTTCATTCACTTACATTGAAGAAAAGTATAATATAAAGACAATATAAACAGACCTTTCGTTTGAGGATACTAAAAACAGTGTTTTAAAAGCAGAAATTTGTATGTAATAAAAATAATTCAGTTCATTCAGTCATAATTCTGCAGTTCGCTAACCGTTAGCAAGCGTCATGTAACCATGGTGACGGGACTCTATGACGTAGCTGAAGTCAAAGGTTAGAGCGCGCGTCACGACAGACGCGACTTGCGACACACGGCATCGAGACGTCGCTAATGCTTTAGCGGGTTATCGAAGTTTACAAATTTAAACAAACACGTAAAGGTTCCTTACACCAAAGTGACAGGAGCGTAATAATCATGGCGTCCACCGCGGCGGGTAAACAGAGAATCCCGAAAGTGGCGAAGGTAACAAATAATGTTTTATGAGTTAGCATTAGCATGTAAACAACGTGAAGTTGTTGTGCTGTGTTCCTCTGTAAACAACTGCTATATAATATTTTGAGTTGTAATTAAACATGTTGAACAGTGTTTAATTGTGTGTTTATTGTACGTTATGTGTTCAGGTGAAGAATAAGGCCCCTGCGGAGGTGCAAATCACCGCAGAGCAGCTGCTCAGAGAGGCGAAGGAGAGAGAGCTAGAGCTGCTGCCTCCTCCACCCAAACAGAAGATCACAGACAAGGAAGAGCTCAACGACTATAAACTGAGGAAGAGAAAGGTATGAGCGCCAGATCTCTGTATGATCACATTATTTGCAAAAATACATCATGGGATCAAAATACAGTACCATGGTACATGATGTCTAACGTTACCATAGTAGTGCTGTATGGTTAGCATATCAGGATAATGCCCAAAATATGATATTACCACAGTACATACCCTTTGTTATGGTATGTTCCCTAAAAAATATAATGTTTGCAAGGTACAGTCAATAAAATTTGCTTGTAAAGTATGTACGATGGCAACACCATGACATTACCATGGTACATGCCTGGAACACATACCCCAAAAAGCATAGCATTAGCAAGGTACATGGCATACAACATGATATTGTTATGGTTCATGTATTAAAAACATGACATTTCTATGGTTTTGTCATGGTATGTGCATCATAAACATAATATTAGCAATATGCATGCAATAAAACAAGGTTTTCTTGGCATGCACCTTGGCAATACTATGACAAGTAAATGGTGTAAAATCAAATTATTTTATACTGTTTATTTAGCAGGATATATGATGGTCAAATCACCTTTACTTACGTAGCACGTTTCACAATACAGATTTTTTTGTTTCAAAGCAGCTTTACAGTGGATTCAAACATTCTCACGCAAAGGAAAGCATACATGTGAAAGTGCAGCTTTAATTTTTATTGATCATGTGTTTCTCTTAAAACGTGCATTCATGAGAAATTGCGCTGTGGATAAATCAGCATGATCAAAAACTTGCGCAGTCATATTTTTCCTTTAAATAACTAGACAATAATGTGAATAAAGGGAGGATTTGATAACACTATTTCAGATAGCTTGTCGGGCAGGCCGGTTATGCGTTTTGGTAGCCCGACAGGAAAACACAATAGTCCCGGAACGTCGAGCTAGGACGTTAGAAACCAAAGAAATCAATAAAGTTCATTTTTTCCTCTCATCTCAGGCGTTTGAAGACAACATCAGGAAGAACAGAACTGTCATCAGCAACTGGATCAAGTACGCACAATGGGAGGAGAGCCTGCAAGAGGTCCAGAGGTGAGTTTCTGTTCAGCGCTTACTGATTGAATTGTGGATTAGATGTGATTTCCTTAACTTTTTTCTTTTGGTTGTCTTCAGAGCTCGCTCCATCTACGAGCGTGCGCTCGATGTGGATCACCGCAATATCACACTGTGGCTAAAGTATGCAGAGATGGAGATGAAGAACCGGCAGGTGAATCACTCTCGCAACATCTGGGACCGAGCCATCACCATCCTGCCCCGTGTCAATCAGTTCTGGTACGCTTTCTCCTCATGATTATACTAGGGTTGTCACGGTACCACAATTCCAGATTCTCAGTACTGATTTTCGTACCATAGCAAAAACTGTTGGAACTATTTTCTTGAACTATTTGAAAATATCAGATTAAATGATTGTATTATTTATAATGCAGGTAGCCTTGATATGTTTAAAAATAAACATTGTTTATAAAAAGATCAAGTAATAGAATGGACAAGAAACACATACACATTTTTAAGAAAGTCTATTAGTTTGCAGTTACACTCTTGAGATTTAAGATTATGCACATATCTGTTTTGACATACAGTATCAGTTTTGTCCCATCTGTTGCTGTGCTTATGTCACTGTCAATCACTGCAGTTTTGGATTGAATCACACAATTATATACAGTTGTCAATCCAGAAACTTTGCAGTGTACAAAGTAGCATGAAACTTGCTGTAAATAGAAAGCTTTAATGGTCTTCACTGAATGTTTACACAGATGCACACGGAAGCATTTGAAAGTACCGAATAGAGTGCCGAAGTTATGACGTCATTTTTTAGGACAACTCGGAAGCTAGCGGCGCATTGGTTCCCTCGATCGAAAAGCTATGCATTTTCCCCATAGACTTTTGGAAAATCGATAAGATTTGTGACCCTAAAAAAAAAATAAGATCTGTGTTCAACAAAGAGTTGTGACCCTTACACGTTTTGTCTATCAAGATAATCTTTTAGTTAATCCAACATTTATACATTTTGAAGCCTATATAAAGTTTTTAAAAACACAAGCAGAATATAACTGTGTGTTCTATGTCATAGATCAAAATGTGAAAATATCTAGAGGCTTTGTTCACCACAGACCTTACTTCAGGTGATTTAGCAAAAACCCATTCAAAAATCCTATAGACTTTAGAGCGAGGGAATTGGTAGTGCTAAAATGCTAACTCAATGCTATATACCCGTTACTCAGAAATCCTGGCGTCATCACATTTTTATAATCTCAGTAGCGATTTGTTAATATGGACAATAATGTATTCAGACAAAGATACCCTTGTTTTTTCTTCTTGTGACGCGTATGTTTATGCACCAGGTACAAGTACACCTATATGGAGGAGATGCTGGGGAACGTGGCCGGCTGCAGGCAGGTGTTTGAGCGCTGGATGGAGTGGGAGCCGGAGGAACAGGCCTGGCATTCTTACATCAACTTTGAGCTGCGCTATAAGGAGGTGGACAAGGCCCGGAGCATCTATGAGAATTATATCCTTTCATTAATTATCTATTTTACTCTGAAATATTATAAATATTAACTTTATCCAGAATTCCGATACATACAGTACCTTCACGTTAGTAAATCCTAGTGGATTGATTGATTTTCTTGCAAAATGCAACTATATTGTCATCCATTTCTGTATAAAGTTGGTTATGTAAGTTTGTCCAGCTTTATCCACATACATATATACAGTAATCTCATGTAGTGCAAATATACACACTATTATCTATATAACATACCTAAACTGTTTGATTGCTTGTATTGTTTATACTAGATGTAGAATTGAGACTCATGAAATTTAGAGACTCAGCCATTCATATTTTTTGAAAGGGGAAGGGAAGCTGGTTTGGGATTTGTGTAAGAATTTGAGTGTAAAACATATTTTAATAGAATATACTTTTTGTTTTTATAATATGAGACAACGTTTTTTATTCAGAAAATATCTTAATAGACATTTTTGAAAAGGTTTCTCCTGGAATAATTTTAGAATTTCTATTATACATTGAATTGAAAGATTCTATATAATTGTTATTACTATTATTGTTTTTTATATGTAGGTTTTTGTATATCGATTTGTTGTTTTTTTTAAAGACAAAATTGTTAAATTATTGCATTAATTAAAAAAAAAAAAATCAATACTGTTGATTTCGCCATGAATATAGCCAATGCTGCTGATATGGCGTTAAATCATAAATAAACAAATAAGATTGCCCAGTAATCCACTAAATGCGAATAAGTCATGAAGATATTGTAGACAACAATATAAAAAAGCTGTTTTGAAACAGTGTGTATTTGTGAAAAGCGCTATACAAACAAATTTTACTTGACTTGAAATATGTACAAATAAATAAATGCATTTAAATCATGTTTATTATATAATGTCCCATTTGAGATTGAATGTCTGTGACATAAAAAATGTAGATACATTCCTTAACAGCAGAGCACTCGTGATGGTCCATCCTGAAGTGAAGAACTGGATCAAGTACGCTAACTTTGAAGATAAGCACGGCTACATCGCTCTCGGGAGGAAAGTGTTTGAGAGAGCCGTGGAGTTTTTTGGTGAGGATCACATCAGCGAGAGCCTCTACGTGGCTTTTGCCAGATTTGAGGAGAAGCAGAAGGAGGTATGACATCCTGTGTTCGTTCATCCAATAAACAAGATGTTTCCTTTTCATGTGTGACCATTGGCTTTGTGTCTTTCAGTTTGAGAGAGTTCGCATCATCTATAAATACGCTTTGGACCGAATTCCCAAGCAACAGGCCCAGGAGCTGTTCAAGAACTACACCGTGTTTGAGAAGAGGTTTGGAGACCGGAGAGGAATCGAAGATGTGATCGTCAGCAAGAGGAGGTTTCAGTATGAAGAGGAAGTCAAGGTGGGTAAAGCGTGATTATATTTATTATAGGGCTGTGCAAAAATTAATTGCGATTAATCGCATCCAAAATAAAAGTCTGTGTTTACATAATATATTTGTGTGTGCTGTATATATAAATATCTATGCATGCATGTATATATTTAAGAATTATTTGCACTTAAATTCTGTATACATGTATAAATACATAATCTATATTATATAAATATTTTATATATGAATAACACATTTTCTTAAATATATACAAGCATGTGTGTGTATTTATATATACAAAATAATTATATACAGCACACACAAATATATTATGTTAACACAGACTTTTATTTTGGATGCGATTAATCACAATTAATTTTTGCACAGCCCTAATTTATTATTATTATTATTATTATAATTACCTGGTCAAGACATTGTTTGCATTGTTAGAGTTTAATCTGTTGGTTTCCTTCTTTTTCGGATGGAAACTATTTGGTCTTTGCTAAACCAGTTTGTAGTTTTGCACAAGTTTCTTGATGACTCTGTGTTGCTTGTTAACACAATTTCCTCCTGTATAGGCCAGCCCACATAATTATGATGCTTGGTTTGATTACCTGCGCCTGGTGGAGAGTGACGCGGATGCGGACACGGTTAGAGAAGTGTATGAGAGAGCGATAGCCAACATACCCCCCATCCAAGAGAAGAGACACTGGAGACGCTACATCTACCTGTGGATTAACTACGCTCTCTATGAGGAGCTGGAGGTCAAGGTATGATAGACAGAAAGCATTCAGTCGAGTCTTGTAATTATATGTACACATTTTGAGGCAGAGTTTAATGTAATATCTTTTGTTTAGGACCCTGAGAGAACGAGGCAGGTGTACCAGGCATGTCTGGAGGTTATACCACACAAAAAGGTGATAAACTTTTCATCGTCTTAATGGTTAAAACATTATTTTCATGACAACTATGCCATTTGTGGTGAAATAATCTTTAATTTATTCTGCTCCCTTGTGGAGAATTTGCAACCATGTCAAGAGCTGTGTTGTGCTCGACTGCATTTTTTCTGTGAAAGGATTTTACATTCTGATGTTGCTACAATGTCTAAGTTTAATTTGTTTTCTAATTATACATGTTTTTTTATTCTCAGTTTACATTTGCCAAGATTTGGCTCTTGTATGGGCAGTTTGAAATCCGACAAAAGAACCTCCAGAATGCTAGACGATGCCTGGTAAGTGTTTCACTCTAAAACTGATTTACTTTTACACTACTGTTCAAAAGTGTGACGTCATTAAGATTTTTATTTTTTTTTATTTAAGATTTTTTTTTTTTAAAGAAAGAAATTAATACTGTGATTCAACGAGTACGCATAACATTTATCAAAAGTGACATTTATAACATTAGAAAAGGTTTCTATTTCAAATAAATCCTGTTCTTTTCATAGAATCCTAAAAAAATATTTATCATATTCTCCACAAACGTTTTAAGCATCACAACTGTTTTAAACATTGATAATAATCAGAAATGTTTCTTGAGCAGAAAATCAGCGTACTAGAAAGATTTCTGAAGGATCATGTGACACTAAAGTTCAGCTTTGATTACAGGAATACATTACATTTCAAAGTATATTGACATGGAAAACATTTCTTATAAATACAATAATATTATTTCACAATATTACTGTTTTTATTGTATTTTTGTGTAGCCCTCAAACCGTATTCACTTCATAGCCCTTAATCCTGTAATTGTGGACAAATGTGGGCACAGAGGACTCAGGTGTGATCCTAATTTTTATTTATTATAAATGTTATATCTTTGTCTTCGATAAAGTTTTGTCTATCCATTTATGGTGTTTTTTTTTATTTTGGGGGACTTTTTGAATTTATTTACTTCAAAAAGTACCCTATTTTCTATGTAAATTATGCTTATTTTTATGTATTATTTTTTTTTTAATTAACTACATTAAAATATCATTCCAATAAGTTCTTAGTCAGAGCTAAAACCTAAAGATGAAGTGACTTTGCTATCACCTGGTGTCTCATTTTGGCTTATTTTATAATGCGCTAAATTTTTATTTTTATGGGTGCCCATTTTTGACCCAAATACAAGATTAAGGAGTTTTTTTCACCTACTTAACATTGTAGAATTGAGTAAAATTCTAAAAAAAAAAAAAAAAAAAAAAATTGTGTGTGATCAGGAGGCAAACTTAGGAAAAGTATCCAAGTCTTGTACCGCTCAGATCAAGGGAAGTATTTAAAAAAAAAAAAAAAACTATTTTGCCCACATTTGTCCAGAATACGGTTTTAGGGTCAAATAAATACAGCCTTGGCAAGCAGACGAGACTCTTCTCCAAACTTCTGAATGTTTTAAGTTTATCATAAGGTAGTGTTTATAACCTCTGACCTCTGTCCTATCAGGGCACATCCATTGGAAAATGTCCCAAAAACAAACTTTTTAAGGGCTACATTGAGCTGGAGCTCCAGTTGAGGGAGTTCGACCGCTGCAGGAAGCTCTACGAGAAGTACCTGGAGTTCAGTCCGGAGAACTGCACCACCTGGATCAAGTTTTCTGAGCTGGAGACAATCCTGGGAGACACAGAACGGGCCAGAGCTATATTTGAACTGGCCATTGGACAACCACGATTGGACATGCCAGAGGTCAGAACGTCAAGTCATGTTAAAGTTTATTTTCCCCATTTAATTTTGCTCAAAGTCTGGTTCAGACCGTGTTCAAATGCGAGTATATAATACCTTCTAATCAGGCTTTTGAGAAACATTTATTTTTTCATGTCTCAATCACAATTTTAATTATTGCAATATGTTTTTGAGCTTTGATCATAAAACCAAGCATTTAAATATTATTATTATTATTTCCTTTATTGTAACCAGGAGAATCACACACAGTGTGCAATAGCCTTAAAACATACAATTGGGAAAGAGCGAAGACTGACATTTATGTGATTTTATGGAATTAGTCTGTTATGAAGATCTCATTAATCGTTTCTTTTTGGCCATAAAAATATCAGCAACTCCACCAAATTGCATATTTTAGCTTAGTTTTGACCTCTGAATAAAATTAAGATATGTTCTCCTCCAGTATAAGCTCCATATTCTCACTATATCATACTGTAAGAGCCATACAATCCTGATATATCAAATAGAGAATTTTTACCAATAAAACTTTTCCATTTAAAAACACTTATTTAATTTGTCAGGCTTTACTGGGTTAAAAGTGATTCTGAACTGTTTCTCCTCTGTATTGTTCACGTCAGGTGCTGTGGAAGTCATACATCGACTTCGAGATCGAGCAAGAAGAATACGACAACACACGAGGACTGTACAAGAGACTGTTACAGCGGACTCAACACGTCAAAGTAAGCAATTGACAACACAACATGCTCATTTTAAATAAATATCCCACTCGTTTGATTCCAATCCCGTTGTATTCTAGGTCTGGATCAGTTACGCGCAGTTTGAGATGTCGATTGACAGCGAGGACCGCATACAGCGATGCAGACAAATCTACGAGGAGGCCAATAAGAGTATGCAGGGCTGTGAGGAGAAGGAGGAGCGTCTGATGCTCCTGGAGTCCTGGAGAGACTACGAGGAGGAGTTTGGCTCGTCGGCCAACAAAGACCGAGTCCAGAAACTCCTGCCGGAGAAGGTGAAGAAGAGGAGGAAGATCACAGCGGAGGATGGGGTGAGAGTCTTTTTTCGTCTCAGTTGTGTGGGTGTTCTTTCTTGCATCGACTAGTCATGCCTAACACCATGTCATTGGTTTGTTTGTTAGTCGGATGCAGGTTGGGAAGAATATTACGACTACATCTTCCCAGAGGATGCTGCCAATCAGCCCAACCTCAAACTGCTGGCCATGGCCAAGATGTGGAAGAAACAGCAGCAGCAGGAGGAGGAGGAAGAAGAAGAAGATGACGACGACGAAGAAGAACAGCAGGTTCCTCAAGGGAAGGAACCACAGGAGAGCTCAGAACCAGACGAGGAGGAACCGGCGGCCCATAAAGAACAGAAGGAGAATGAAAATGACGATCGCGATGATAGCAGCAGCAGCAGCAGCAGTGACAGCGAGAGTGATGGCCATCACGAAGACGACAAAGAGAAGACCGGACAAACAAAGGCGGACGCAGAGAAACAGTGAACTGGTGTGGTTGGAACTTAACATATTATTTGACTCGTTGTCTCTTTTCTTTTCTAACAAAATAAAGGTGCGAACCAAACATTCTTGTCCGTCTCATCAAAAAGCCGAACTTTATTCCTTCATCTGGACATGTTTATAAACCTACCGTTACGTTCACACGGATTTCAGCGCAAACAAAGCTAACGTAAGCTATCCTTACCAACACGTTTGGATAAACATAGGCTACTTGAAGACATAAAGTAACTGGTTGATAAAGCGCAATTACCTGTCAGTCAGGGGAGAAATGTTGCAAGCTCTGCATCCAACAATTAAATCACGCAAATCTCCACCTTTCAAAATCCGATTGTAACTTGCGTGAGGGGTGGCGTGGGCACGACCTGTGATTGACAGTCATATCTCACACCCCCTGCACTGATTGGACTCGATTAAACGGGAGCGGTGGATTTTTGCAAGAGTGTTGTTAGAAGCGTGTTTTTTTTTTTTGTTGTTGTTCTGTGAGATTATAGTGTCGATTTCACTGAATATGATCAAAAAAAATTTTTGACGACGGCAGCTTTGAAGTCATGAAATAAAAATTCACCCTATTTTCTGAATGCATATTATAAATATTATTGGAAACAATCCATACCACGTGTTTCATTTTTAAATGTTTGAGCTGTTAATGTTCTGGGCTTCTTCGTAAATGGGTTACACTTAGCTATATATATAAATATAAATATATTTTTATTCTATAATATTTTCTGATTATTATTATTATTATTAAGAATTTTTTTATGATACTTTGCAATAATTTATAATTTTTATGAGCTATTTTTTCCATTAGAATTAATATATATATTTATTTTTTTATTTTGTTTATTTTTAACATGTAACTAAAAAATAGTTACATGTGTGCAATGTCCTATAGCTGCCAATAGCTTCCTATATAAATACATAGGAAGGCTTTTTTATTCCTTTTGTTGTTTTAGACATGATTTCTTATTCGTTTTTTATTTTATTTTAGATATTCTAAAAGACAACTACTTTATTTTTTAACAAAAAAATATATTTTCAATTTTAAAACTTATTTGCACTCTTGATGTTTTAGTCACCTCTTCATTGCTGTACACTTTTTTTCTGCACAGTTGCTGATCTGTAGCTTATACCACCAAAAGTTTCTCTGAGTTTTCTGTTTTTTCGTATTTCCATTCATTTCCTACGTCGTCCATTTTTGACCGGGAGGAAGCTAAGTGTGACTAGCTTCTGAAGCTAAGAAGCTATGTGTGACTTTTTTTACGGCCCTTTAACAAATCAGAATCATCTCCTTGATTTTTTCATTTGTTCATATAGGTAATATAACAAAAAAAATTAAAAGCAAAAAAATTAAACAATTCAAAATTGATTTTCGGACGAAGAAGCTCAGAGGGTTAATCAAAATGTTATAAATTGATCTTCCTGGGGGGGAAAACACTGTTTTTCGAATTTTTTGTTGCGCTTGATATACATCACAATACGGAAGATCTTTCGCTACTTCCGTTTCATCGTGACTGTGAAAATGGCATCCTCCAGCTGATTCGCAATCTCGCTATCCATGAAAATGTGTTTGGGATCTACTTTTAAATAACTAATACAATAATAATGCAGAGGCAGAATCCTGTTTATTGAATTTATTTACTGCATTAATTTACTAAATCTGTTAAACATATTTACAGGATAAAGTTTATTCACTGCCTTTGCAGTGTTACAGGGAAAATGAGAGATTTCAGTGGCGATCCGAGATAAAAATGTATAGTGACCCCGATTATGCTAATCACGTGTCAACCTGAACAAAAGTTTTATATGTTGTTTAATAAGACAAATCAGCAAAGTTTTCCCTTAAACATTTTTATTTCGTGTAACTACAGTACATTTCCAATGTCCTATTAGTTTCAGCTTTATTAACCCAATAGAAAACAACAATTCAAAGCAGTGACTCTCTGACATTTCAGATCATTATTGTGACAAAAAGCAAACGTTGGTTTTCCCAGTTGGATGTTGATGGTTTCAGAGAGCCACTTATTAGTGTTATTCGATATCTTCTGGTCGGACAGGATGTGGAAGCGGAATTATGGATTTCTTCTCTGTGTCTCTGGATAAAGCCTTCCTCATATCTGTCAAAATGAAAGAACATGCCTTTTGTTTCTCTGGTGAAAAGTCTGATTGCTTAGTAAAGTTAACAAGCAGCACAAATGTTGCAAGACAGGTTACGTGTTGTCCGTGAGTTCAATATTTAAGGTCATGGGTTTATTCAAATCTCTACCCTTAAATATGACCAACTATAAAAATAACACCAATAATAACCTGGATGTGATCTACTAACATCAGACAATTGAAATGACCCATAAGTCATGTTCACTACCGTTCAGAAGTTTAGGGTTAGTAATTTCTTGAAATTGTTTTTGAAATATATATCTTCTCACCAAGCTGCATTTATTTGATAAAAAAAAAAACAGTAAAAAAGTACTATTGTAAAAATATAATTGTAATTTAAAATGTTTGAATATATTAAATTTCTGTGTCGGATCAAAGCTGAATTTTCAGCATCATTACTCCAGACTTCCTTCAAAAATCATTCTAATATGCTCAATTATTATTATTATCAATTCTGAAAGTCGTGCTGCTTTCTGTTGAAACCATGATTTTTTTTTAATTATTATTATTTGACAAATAGAAAGATCATTTATTTTAAATAGAATATTTTGTAACATTACAAATGTTTTATTGTCACTTTTGATCAATTGAATGCTTCCTTGCTGAATAAAAGTATTAATTTATTAAAAAAAAACAACAACCTTTGAACAGTAGGGTTAGGGCAATTAGCAAGCAGATATCTCACCATACGCATCTTCGTCAGGTTCACCGTTACTGGCAGAGTAATACTCTATAACCGTTCTGTACACGCTGTAGCCGAGCTGTTTGTACATGTTCACAGCAACTTGGTTGGAAACCCGAACAAAGAGATCCACAAAGAATCCGCCCTTCCTAAATAGAGGAGAACCACAAAATAAAAACAGGACACAGATTTATTATTTTACAGCTAATAAACAATATGATTTCGGATTTTTACTGTTTTTTTGTTTTTTTTTACTACATGTTTGTACCTTTCTGAGATCTCCTCTAACATCTCCATGAGTTTAGCAGCCAGACCCAGTCGCCTGAACTCTGGGGCCACAGAGAGAGCCGTGACGTGCCCGTGCCACTCCTCCCTGGCCACGGACCCTTCTGCCTTCCCCATGACTACAGGACCATTCACATACAGGTTATACACACACACACACACACACACACACACCAATCTATGGAAGCTTGTTTCCGCCACTGAATAAAAAAATAAAGTAAATAATTGCGACTTTTTATCTCACAATTCTGACTTTTTTTCTCACAATTGCGAGTTTATATCTCACAATTCTGACTTTATTTCTCAGAATTGCGTGATATAAAGTCGCAATTGCGAGTTGTAAAGTCAGAATTGTGTGTTATAAAGTCAGAATTGCGAGATATAAAGTCGCAATTCTGAGAAAAAAAGACAGAAGTGTGACTTTTTTTCTCTCACAATTGCGAGTTTACATCTCGCAATTCTGACTTTATAACACATAATTGCGAGTTTATATGTCGAAATTCTGACATCTTTTCTCAGAATTGTGAGATATAAACTCGCAATTGCGACTTATTAGGCCAATTATAAGGGGAAAAAAGACTAACTTTTTCCCCCCCTCAGAATAGTTTAAATCTCACAATTCTGACTTTATATCATGCATTTCTGACTTTATAACACGCAATTGCGACTTTATATCTCGCAATTCTGACTTTATAACTCGCAATTCTGACTTTATATCTCGCAATTCTGACTTTATATCTCGCAATTCTGACTTTATATCTCGCAATTCTGACTTTATATCACGCAATTCTGACCTTATAACTCGCAATTGCGACTTTATATCACGCAATTCGGACTTTTTATCTCGCAATTCTGAGAAAAGAAGTCAGAATTGTGAGATAAAAAGTCACAATTATTTACTTTATTTTTTTATTCAGTGGCGGAAACAAGCTTCCATACCAATCTGACTGTTAAAGTTAGCAAAATTTCTGACTGTTCCTCACTCAATGCTTTCAATGTATAGAAAAGAGCAGCATGAGCGTTAACATGTCTAAACATGTCTTTTTTTATATTCATACGGGTGTGGAATGACATGAGTAATTAATCTCTGAATGTTCACCCATTAAAATGTTCAACTAAAAGCACATTTGACTCACTGTAGCCCATCAGTTCCCCTCCTGGAGCCTCTGCCACTATGAAATACTCCGGCCAGTGAGCCAAATATTGAAGATAGAAGGGAATGCCATACTGTACAATGAATGAAAGTTAAGAAGAAAAAAAATGAGGGGGGAAAGCGACTCTATAAGAGTCATGACAGGATGATTAATCAAACAATATTTGGTTATTAAGAGATAATCAGCTTGTAATTGTTTTAAAGGATACAGTTTCTGTCAAGGGGTCCAGATTACTGTGGGATACAAATAGACAGTCAAAATTAAAACTGTAAAATTAATAAGTGAACTCTGATGTTATACACCAGGAACATAATCAATATGATGCAGCACAGTAAGACAAAGTAGCATGTTTTTGAACATTTTTCTTTCTAAATAATTTAATACGTTGAAGAAACATGCTAATTTCTGTTAGCAGACTGTGCAACATTATCATGTTAAATATGATCATAACAACTGTAGCGTTACATCGTACATGAAGCTGATTATCATAGTGCTAACTACCTTCACTTTACGATAGTAACGCTACAGCACTTTTTTTGAAATGGTAATCACCAGCTCTATTATATAATGTGTAAATGAATAACTCACATATTGTTGAATTTAAACAGATCATCGCACGTGAAAGCTCGTAATGTTGTCATTCTCCCGTGTGTGCAGGACGACGCTCCGACCTCTCACCTCTACGTCACACGTATGACGCTCCATTGTGTTTTTAAGCAGCGACATCTGTCGGCACGAGGGAGAAATACACATGCACTTTATGTTCAATACAACGCTTTTGTTTTATTTTACTCCACATTTCGTTGCTCCTACAGTGTTAGTTATTCACTGTAAAAGAACAAAAAAATCATTGTCTTTAAAAAATAAAACTGGCAGCTGTGGTTTCCAGAATAATTATGTAAAAAATACAGTAAACATGATTACAAATAAATAAATATTGACAGAACAGTCTGTAAATTCTACTATTTAAATCAGTCATTTACAAAAAAAAAAAAATCTATTGAATTAACAAGGCCAAGCTGCTATTAAAATCTGTTTGTACTTTTTTATCTATTACACTTTTTCTCGTCTATAGTATGGGAACTTACTGTTAACTAATTAACATTTTTTACTCTCATATTGTTTTTACTGTTAAAATTACAATATATATATAATTTTTTTACAGTGTTCTCAAACATGTTATGCAAGTCTTTGTAAAGTCCCTTCATTGTCCAGTGAATGGGCTGTTATTCCCTCAGGTGTGTAGGTGGAGTGATGAAGGATCAGGTGTTGGATCGCTCTATAAAAGCATCTGTTGGTCTTAGTAGTTCAGTAAGTGCTTTCACTGGAGTGTCACACCTGCAAATGGAGTGGATTCAAGTCTTTGGAGTTCTGGAATGTTTACTATTCTGCAGTGGAACTCTAGTCACACCAAGGTTGGTCAGATTTCCAATTGTATTAGAGTAACATGTTTGAAAGAGTCATTTAAAAGGTGATTACAATGGTTAAAAATTGAAGAAAAACTGCATTACTTAAAATACCACAGAATAGAACTTTCGTATTCCTTTTGATGTTGACGATTTAGTGATGAACTAGAAATTTTTAGCAAATATGGAAAATCCTGATAGCAAAATAATAATTTGTATTATGCTCAATATTCCAAATCTGTATCTTTTGTCTCTTTAATTTGTTTTTGAAATAAATCTCTTATTCTATCCAAGGCTGTATTTATTTGATCAAAATACAGTAGAAATAGTAATATTGTGAAATATTACAATTTAAAATAACTTTTCTATGTTAGTAGCCCTCAATCGGGTCATGGGTGCTATACGACCCCAATCGACTTTTACTTAATAAAAAAAGGGTTCCCTTCATCTCAGTGGAAAAAGATTTAGTGACTTTCTTGATCTATTTATACATACACACACACACACAAAACTGGGCTTGATTCGGTTGTTCTGAAGTTATGTAAAAAAAAAAAAAAAAAAAAAAAAATTCTGGTCTTCGGGGTCAATATGACCCCATATTGAAATGAATGGGAAATGTGAAAAAAACGAAATATATTTTCTTCATGTGTCCAAAAAAAAAAAAAAAAAAATCCGGCATAAATCTGAAAAATTTTACACAGAAATGAAGGCCTAGTACTAGAGCATAAATGCAATGTATCATAAAAAAATGGTGTGGTATATGGATACAAAAGTACTTTATATCTCCAAAAAAACACAGCATTAATGAATAGATGAGAAGTGAACCAAAAAAAAAGATATATTATTTGTATGATTAAAAATGTATATTTTATGTACAATTACTCAATCAATTGTTGGGGTCGTATAGACCCTGAAGTGTAAACAGGAGACGAAGACCATTTGAAGCTTAAGTCATTTTAAAATGAAACAAAAAACTTTTCTTATCAATGTTGAAAACTGCTTCATATGTTTAAAAAACACACAATTTTTTTTTTTTTTGTAGCGTTATAAATGTCTTTGGTCACTTTTGATCAATTTAATGCATCCTTGCTGAATAAAAGTATAACATTTTTTAAAACAAATTGTACAGAACTCACATTTTTAAATGGTATAGTGGAAGATAGAAAAGTAGCTGTTTAGAGTTTAATGTTTCTAATGTTAAGTTCTTAAAAAAAAGTTCTGTTATTTGTTATCTGCATCCAATTTCAGCCAGTTCATGCTAATATTCATAATTAAAAACTCTAATCATTGAGAGAAATATATTATTGCAGATATATTATGTATCTCAATCATAATCCCATGAAAATACATTTTTTTTTTTTAGTTTCAGCCTAGCAAAGAATCCCTCGTATCTCATATCCGTCTCTGAAGTTCTGCGCTGTGGCGTTCCCACCACAATATCAGTCAGCATTCTGTCAGATTATCCCATCACAGTCACAGCTGAACTCATTCATGGAAACACCAGTGTGGCCCAAACACAGAGCACTGTCCCAGCAGGTAAAATATAGAAATGTAACATTTCTCAGACAGTTATATAACAACATATATTCTATTTAGTCTGAACTCTTTAAATTTACATTGAAAATCGCATTGTCAAACTCAAAAATGCACATTTTTACAATGACGTATACAATGTAAATACAAAATAACATAATACACAACTCCACCCTGTTCAAACAAGTATTAGTGTCTGTTCTGCTTTGATTTTAAAGGCTCTACCAGACTACTGTCTCTTCCACCTGTGAGTATCAGGACTGCAGTTTTTTATGATTGAATCTACAAATGAATTGATTAAAAGCCTGCACAGTAACATTAAAAGTAACATTAAAATTGATTAAAAGTTTTTGTCTGTGACCTATGTGTTATTTTCCCTCTTCAGGTCTTTTATGATGAATTGAGTTACTGGTATCCATATCAGCTTCACGTTAAGGGGTTTGTTGGAGCTGCTCAAGTGTTTTCAAACTCCACCGCGATGGTCTTCAGCCCCAAGTGCATGTCCATCTTTATCCAGACTGACAAGAACAATTACCAACCAGGGGAGACGGTGAAATTTCGGGTTGTATCGGTTACTCCCGATGGAAAGCCGTACAAGGGCCAGCTCAACCTATATATCAGGGTGGGTGTCTCTCAAGTGATTGGTATTGGTTATTTTAGCCATATTTTGGCAGAATAAGAACAGATACATTAGCAGTGTCATCATAGTGATGGGAGAAACAAAGCTTTTAAAAACATGCATTGCAAAATGATGGCTCATGCTGATCAGAACAGTGGGAATGCAATGAAAGCTCAGCTTAAACATGCACAAAAAAAAAAACTTTCACAATCTAAATGCAATTCTATTATTGAATGTGTAATCTATTGAATGCAATTAACAAATCATCTAATTAGGCCCCGGATATGGATGGTGTGAGGAGGAACCTCTATGTTATCATTAAAAAGTGTCTTCATAATATGATATTTATATTCAATTGAATAGTGTTTTGTTTGTTTTATAGAGTGCTTAAAAAGACCAATAAGAGACTATACATTTACTTTACATTTAATCATTTAGCAGATGCTTTTATCCAAAGACTTACAAATGAGGAGAACGATAGAAGCAATCAAATGAATCACTGATTTAAAGAAAATAATTTGCAAAGGTTTCAAAGCGTCATGAAGCAGTGTTTTGAATACACCCATCACTACGGTCTGGAGTAGGCTACTGAGGGATGGAGAGAACAAACCTTATTCCTTACTTTTTGTGTTTTTATTGTGACCAGGATCCCAAGGGGAATATGATTCGACAGTGGCTGTCTGTGGACGGTTTTCTCGGTGTTGTTTCAAAAGAGCTGAAACTCTCGCAGAACCCACCGCTTGGCCCATGGAAAATTATTGCTGGAATCCACGTGAGTTGTGTGAAAACTTGAGTGGAAAGTCACCACCTGGTGAACAGCTGAAAAAATCTCACTGAATTACCTTTAAGGAATGACCGGTTGCCTTCGTAACAACGTAAAGCCATATATTACCTTCGCATCGCAACACAACACACTAAAAACACTAAGAGCACCTTAGCAACTGCATATAGCAACACAAACACTAAGAACACCTTAGCAACTGCATTGCAACACTTTAAAAAGACTAAGAGCACCTTAGCAACTGCATAGCAACACTCTAAAAACACTAATTGCACCTTAGCAACCGCATAGCAACACTCTAAAACACTAAGAGCACCTTAGCAACTGCATAGCAACAATTCAAAAAGACTAAGAGCACCTTAGCAACTGCATAGCAACACTCTAAAAACACTAAGAGCACGTTAGCAACTGCATATCAACACTTTAAAAAGACTAAGAGCACCTTAGCAACTGCATAGCAACACTTTAAAAAGACTAAGAGCACCTTAGCAACTGCATAGCAACACTTTAAAAAGACTAAGAGCACCTTAGCAACTGCATAGCAACACTTTAAAAACCACTCGACAAAACATAGAATTGTCCTGTCAACCACCCACGAACTGTGCGCAGATAGTTTTGCGCAGTCTTTCATGCACTCCCAGAAAATGCAAAAAGCTTTACTTTGATCTTCTCTCAAAGGGTTAATTCATCCCAGAAGTGAAAATTATCCCATAATTTATTCCCCCTTCAAGCCATCCTAGGTATATGACTTTTTCTTTCAGCCCAACACAGAGTTATATTCTGGCTCTTCCAAGCTTTATAATGGCAATACTCTTAGAAGAAATGGTTCCATCCCCCGCTTCATATGGAACTCCAAAATGGTTCTATATAGAACCATTTTTTTTTGGTAAAAGGTTCTATTGGCCAAGTATGGAACCCCAGGGTTCTATATAGATTCCAGAGGAACCCTTTTTTGAGAGTGTATAGAACCTTTTAGGGGTTCCAAATAGAACCTTTTAAAATTCTATATAGAACCTTTTCTTCTAAGAGTGTACCTTAGAGTTTGAAGCCCAAAAAAAGCACATCCATCCATCATAAAAGCAATTCATACGACGTCAGTGGGTTAAGGCCTTCTAAAGCAAAGCATGCGTTTTTTTAGTAATTAAAGTTATTAAACGTAATTTCGGAGGAGTACGCCCATCTAATTTTCTAATTATTACTATAAAAACCTGCCTCTTACCTCTTCCCAGCGTTAGTTCTTTCAGCATCGCTCTTTCGCCCCTTCTCCTCCTTTTTGTAATTTATTTATTTTTTTTGCTTGTGTTAAAGGGGAGCTTGAATATAATTTCCTCCCTGAGCCCCTTTATAGCAGACATCA